CTTCCGTCCTCCCTCCGGGTATCCTCACCCGCAAGGCGACGCTCATCAGGATCACGGCTACCGACTGAAACATGAAGTGCAAAGTCTTGTTCGTCTGCCGCGAGAACGGCCAGGTACGGTACGCCAACAGCGCCTCCGTAAACGCAAGCACAAAAGCTGCCACCATTAAAACAGGGTGGTAGTTGAAAACCAGGTCCTGGGACGCGGGGGACAGGAAAGGAACAGGCGGATAAATTACCAAGACAGCATCCCATCGATTACACCGTCTTTACCCTCCCAACGTTGCGCGCCGCGTTCCACCGTGGAGGTGCTTACCTGGTCGTCCCAGTCCAGACCTCCTAGAAATCCTTCCCCTGTCCCCACGGCCCACCGTGTCACAAGGATGACAGAAAGCAAAGCGCCTCCATGTGCAACGCCCAAGGCGACTTTCTGGACGAAAGAGGTGGGTTTGGGACCTTTTTCTTCATATACCGCCATAGATTGGTCAGCACTACCGCAAGTGATGTCAGGAGGATGGTATAGTGGGGGTAAAACGTGCGTGGGTGGTGGAACCGTGGGATTGGCTTCTCCTTCTTGCCAACTACTACGAGGAGGCGAAGGAAGGGGGGCCTGTGCAGTAGGTGACACGGAGGACGAAGGACGCTGAACTTCAAGCGGCTGAAGTCCTATGGTTCTCGTTGATTTCAATTGCTGTCGTTCTGGCGGGAGTTGTGGATGTTTGGTAATGGGAGGGTGGAAAGGAAGGTGAATCATGGGAAGGCTGAGAGCACCACGTACGTCACTCAGCTAAATTGGATTCCGACACCATAACCATGGCCTCTTTGCGAGCCCCCAATCCTTCGATACTTGTGCATGGCGGAGACAGCGTACCATCGAGACGATAGTTTGCAATTCAAGAGGTAGCATCAGTCAAGTTCTCGTTTGCACCGGGGACGTAATCAAGGGGTTGAAGCCATGAAAAGAACGTACATGACAAGTCCCCTCCTGCGCCTTTATTTCTGACTTTTAATTATATTTGTTCCGAATAAAAGTGCACCAAAATCCAATCGAACACGTCATCAGTTTGATGCCTGTTACATTGGCCAGCACCCGAAATGCATTACATCAAAATCGAGCGAAAATTCAGGATGCAACTCCCTCAGCCCGCCCCTCGCCACTTCAGTTTCTCAAATATCCCAACTCCATGAGAATTCATCTGTAAAAAGACCGCGCCAATGCACGATATTGCTCGTAGAATAAAAACATGAACACCGTGTGCCCTCCTCCCCGGAGGAAATACGCCCCAAAACCCTTCCACAAGGCCCCTACTCCTTCCTCCGACGCGATTTTCATCAAGGTCTGGCCCGTCGATCGATACGCCAAGGCGCCTCCCGGAGTGCTGGGAGCGGCTTGGGACTGCATGCGGGTCTTGGCCGTATCCAAGGGCAAGGAAGCGAGGGAGTACACCAAGCCAGCGGTCAGGGAAGAAATCAAGTGCAGACTGGTCCCGTCCGGGAGTCCCGTCTCTTTAAACGTCACCTTGGCTTGGTCGTACGTCCCCAATTGCGTGGTGGACACCACCATTGCCCGCATCACCGTGGGCCCCGCCCCCCGCCAATACGTGAGCACGCCCTCCTCCCTGGCCACACGCAGTAACGCGTCCCCCACGTGCTTGTAGCCCCGTCGTTGCTCAGGGGGAAGCTTCCCGTCGGCTTGCATGCGCACCAGGCACACTTCCACAGGACAAGCCAGGAAGGAGGCACAGGCGCCTGCCGTCATGGCGGACAGGGACCGCGTCAAGGCATTCTCTTGCACCTGACGTTGGGCGAGGAAAGCTTTGATCTCGTCGAAGAAACCCAAGCGCATGGTTGTGTAGGACATTTGGCGGGCGATGGCTGCAGAGAGGCCGCTGTACAAACCTAGGAAGGGGGAATTGGGAGAGGGAGAAGGGAGGGAAAAGGGACGGGATGAGGGGGTCCTGGGGAGAGACATCGACGGACGGACGGGGTGAGCTTCGGCTTGATGGGCACAACGCATGCAGAGGGACGAGGCAACGTCAATTGCCCTGTGTCGAATATTCCGAATCGTACCTGCGAAACCCTCCCGCTTGATGATATCTTGCGCCGTCGTCAACATGCCTCCCCCAGCTTTACCTGCCAATTGCATGCGTACCTGTTCGGGCGGAAAAGGGAAGAAACCTATCGCGATCGACATAACATGAACACAATCAAGGTATTCGACAAAGACCAAGCTCACTATCCACGAGATTGCCCACCCGCTCCTTTTACCTTCACGACGTCGGCAGGATGGACAATGAGCCATCCAGAAACCCCGCTGGCCATGCCAACGGCGAAATTCACTGAAGTGGGCAGTACTGCCGCTGCCGCCGCGCTTGTTGCCCAGACTTGTGGTTGAGGTCGTCTTGGGCGCGTGGCGTCAGAAGATGCCATGATACTAAACGAAGAATAGGTCCCCTGACCGTGGTACACGGAGGCTGTGGGAGCGCTTATCCTCGAACCAGGGATAGCTGATGAGTGAATGAGAGGAGTGTTGCCTTCAGAATAACGCTTACGATTATTCGTCCAAAAAGGATAAAGCTCCCTATCGATCTTTCATTCGTCCCAAGCTACCTCTAAACCGCTTCGATTTTGAGCGCTACGCTCCGCCAACCCAACGTTCCTCTCTCTACAGTCTCATTGATCTATTTTAAATGGACTTTTAAAAGTTGGCGATTCAAATTACTAAATCGGGCCTTGGGGATAAAATTTAAATGCAAAGTCTGGGAGGCCATCAATGCACATGTCCGACAACAATCCATGTGCCAATTACTCCTCAGTGTGGTCTCCGCGCGCTCAGCAAGATGCTCTCGCCGCTTCAGCTTCATTCGTTAAGATCACAAATATCGATCGAAAGCATAGAGTAGAGGTAAGTCAAAATACAACGGATAAGAACAATATCATTCTGAATACTATTCAGGACAGTGTGAACGATATGCTCATCAAATTAAGCTGTTTAATGTCTTCGACAACATCCTACTGAATAGGATCACACTCTGGTTGTGGCCCATGGTGTATATAGGGAGCAGTGTTTCCCCTGAACTCCCAATTTCCAGTAAAGTATTCAAGAATAAACAAACAAAACAATCCCTAAGGGAAAACAACAGGTAATTTGCGCTTTCCAAGCACACTACCCTCCAGACCACCACATTGAACCCCACCTAGATCCCTAAACTACCTCACCTCGTCTTTCCTTCACATCCACACCAACCCCAATCACACCCCACAAACGTCCCGGCCCTCGTCCCTCAACAACGATATCTCGGGTAGTCAAACACACGAGTTCGTCGTGTTTTGGAAAACACGGGGATGACGAG